TTGTTGATAGACATTTATTTATTTATTTATATGTAGTGCCTCACATATTGCCAGGCAAGTGTGCTAACGCTGATCCACAGCCCCAGCCCTTAATCCAGCCTTTTTTATGTTGGATATTTTGTTATTTTCCAAGTAGCTCACTATCATAAATACCATGTTCACATTTCATAGATGAGAAAGCAGGCTCAGAAAAATTAGATAAATTTTTTATACAGCAAATAATTATCAGACCTGGTGGTCAGCCCAGGCTTGCCAGTTTCCAAAACCTGTATTCTTCCAGGTATCTGTTATGTCTCCACAGCTAAAAAGTTACCCAGTTAAGACTGGGGCTGGGGGCTGGGGCTATAGCCCAGTTGGTAGAGTGCCTGCACATAGGCCCTGGGTTCAATCCCCAGCACCACACACACGTGCACCAAAAAAAAAAAAATGGCTGAGTCTGGCAAGAGCTTTAGAAGTATTTCATAACTTTTCCTTTTTCCTAATACTTTTTTTTTTTTTTTGTACTGGGGATTGAACTCAGGAGCACTGGACCACTGAGCCACACCCCCAGCCCTTTTTTTGTTTGTTTGTTTTATTTAGAGAGGGGTCTCACTGAGTTGCTTAGGACCTTGCTAAATTGTTGAGTTTAGCTTTGAACTCCTCCTGCCTCTGCCACCTGAGCCGTTGAGATTACATGTGTGTGCCACCGGGTCCAGCTTCCTAATACTTTCTGGTTAAATATTTTAGTGGAAATCAGAGGAGTTAGGAAGAATTATGAGTGTGTAGATACTTCCTGTAGACAGTTTTACATTACTTTTGGTTGATAAGCAGTAGTCAGAGCTACTTACTTCGAATGAACAAGGCTCTAGGCTCAATCCCCAGGACCAAAAACAAACAAAAAAGGCAATACATATTCATTTTCCAAACTTAAAAGGAAAAAAAAAGATAGGAGATATAGCTCAGTGGTATCTAGCATACCTAAGGCCATGGTTCATCCCCAATACTACCACCACAATGATAATGATAAAATAACAAGGGCAAAAAAAAAAAAATGAAAGCTGGACATGGTCATATACACACCTGTAGCTACTCAGAAGTCAGAAAAGATCAGCTTAGGCAAAGTAGTTAGACTACCATCTCAAAAAAAAAAAAGGTGACTATGTCTTCTTACCAGGGATGGAACTCAAGGGCACTTAACCACTGAGCTACATCCCCAGACCTGTTTTGTATTTTATTTAAGAGACAGGGTCTCACTGAGTTGTTTAGTGCCTCACTTTTTTTTTTTCTGAGGCTGGCTTTGAACTTGCGATCTTCCTGCCTCAGCCTCCTGAGCTGCTGGGATTACAGGCATGTGCCGCCGTGCCCAGCTCCAGCTCTGTTTTTATACACCAGTTTGTGTATTTTGAGTATTTTTGGTAACAGAGATAGATAGGCTATGCCCCCTTTGCAGGTATCCAATGTAACCAGTGCTACTTATTTCCAGTCTTAACTTTTTGAAGCTCAGTGTGCCAGAGTTGATGTCATGCTCATCAAAGACTACTTGCGGGAAAAAAAAGTCATGGTTGGCAAATTCATAATTGGGGAAATGTGTCTTTCTTGTTTAGATTCATTGGTTCATGATATTTTCCCGTCTGACTTCCTGATGTTACACACCAATTTTGTAGAGTGCACACATTTGAGGAATGTAGCTTTAGGCTCCTTGTTGCTTACTTTAAAATGGTTCATGTTATGAATTCAATACTCAATCTTCTTTTCCTCACTGGCAATGTGAACTGCACATATTTGTAACCAAGCCTTGCAATTCTATACATTGTTGCCTGAATGTTCAACTTCAAATTTTGGCTAATATCACCATTAGTTAGATGTTGGAAAGTATATGGTGATGAATTTC